TACATTTGAAAAGAGAGATGACATCGTCTAAATGCAAATGGATCCAGTAAAACATGGCAAGGATCACGGCGGAACCGTTAATAATCGAGATGATTAGTAAAACTTTCATCCCCACGATCCTTTTTCTCGCTGTGTCGGCGGGTAGGGGCCAGCAAAGGGTCATGGCCACGCTCAGCCAAACGAGATAAACGCTTTTCTCTGGCCTCACTTCCTTCATTCTTCGTTACGTCGAGGAATAATAAAATTCAACTTTATTCAACGTACGTGTGTATATTGTTCGAACGTTGTTGGAACGTTTAATAAATCATAAATCGGTAATCAACTCATCGGGAACAAACGTACTTTGATTCCTTGGGTAATTCTTGGTATTCGTAACCCGATGCCAATAATTATCCGTTATGCATTATGCACAGGCGTGCGCTATTAGACAGCTGCAAAGAGAAGTTATCGTGCCGCTGGGAATAATATTTTTATTTTATTATGCGGCGTGTAGCAAAAAATGTTATTGTTATTTCACAGAGAAAAATTTAATATTATTGGCGCCTGCTTCTTCTTTCGTATTCTTGCGCTATTCAGCCAAAAAATTTCAACAAAAGTTACTTTTATATATATATATATATATATATATATACATAATCTTATACTTTAAGAATCAACAAAAATATTTATAATTTTTAATTTCAAACCCGTGTTACTTCCATCGAAATAAGTAAGGAATGTACTTTCGTGAAATATTTATTGCACTTAACGCTTCCTCTCGTTCTCTACTGAAAGCAAGAACTGTATTTCTATGTTGTTCCAGGAGCGAACAATGTAAACGAGCCACCTATCCTCGAACCGAACGGATACCCCGCGGGCCTCACGCTCTCCGAATCAACGAAAGTCGGAACGGAGGTGTTCGTTCTCAAGGGCCACGATCCTGAGGGATCGCCTGTGAAATATGGGATACAACTCACGGACCATTTCGTCGTAAATCCACGAACAGGCGTTATCACGTTGGCGAAACCTCTCGACCGCGAGGTGAGTCCAAATTTCTTTTCTTTTTTTTCTTTTTTCTTTTTCATATTTTCATCTGTCGTCATCTGTCCCCTCGATGGGAACGAAAATATGGAATATGTAATATGGAGGAAAGACAGAGAATGTGTAAAATTGTTGCGTATTTTTATATTTTCGATTCGAATTAAGTTTTTCTTGTATTATTTAAAATTGGATCAGGGTTAATTAGGTTTCAAAATTTAAATAATTGATACGTTGGTGAAATAGATAAATATAATAAAATAGAATGGAGAAGGGCAATCGTGTTTGATGTTATTAATTGGATATTCTAAATTCTCATCTGAAAATGTTCTTTAATCACGAGATTTATAAAAAGATGAATAAATATTTGTTCTTCTATTTTTGAACACTCTCGTCTCCCTCACAAAAATTCTCAATTATTTATCGCGACCTACATTTATAAAACTTGGTCCATAACTGAGAGTACCTATCTATGTATAGCTAAAGTTTCGCGAGACTGCAACGAGAACCCAAACTTTAATTTAACATCATTGCATGCACAATAGCGTCAACGATAACAACGAGGAACTGATCAAATGTTAAAAGTGTCTAATAATATTTAAATTATTCGTCCAATTCCAATTCTAATGGATCTATTTGATATCTATTATCGCATATTTTTCTCTAACAGAGAGAAAAAAAGAAAAAAGAAAAAAAGAAAGAGAGAAAATTCTCGAAAGATCTTAGAAAAATAAATATAAACTAATTTCATTGATTCACTGTTGTTAATTAATAATTTTTTACACGTATATTAAATTTTTGATAACTCTAAAATACTTGAATTTAATATTAAAATATAATTCATTACAATGTATACTTCTGTAATGATTATTATTTAATGACTTAATATTAATATAAACGTATATTATTTTCTATCATTTCGTTTTATTCCATATATGCACATTATTCGTACAATAAACACATGTGGCTTCGATTGTTTTGGACGTTATATACCATTTTATGGGTTATCGTTGGTCCCAAACGTATGATATTAATAAACAATCCAATAAATGGAAAACTATAAAATTGAGATACATCGTATTCACTTAACAAAAGGATATTACTTGCTTTATACATCAATATGCATATATAAAAATAAAAAAAAGATGAATAAATTTAAACATATTAAATTTACTTTGATCTCACTTTCAAACGTATTATTTATACGATGGTATTTTCAATAATGCCATTCGCGTGTAGTAATTCACTTCTAACAAAGATAGATCGACCTATTCCAATTATTATCGAAAAGCTATTTCAAAAAGTCCAAACCGATAATCGATACTACGGTAGCGTTTAGATAAATGACGCCAATGAAAACGTGAATACAGGGATGTTGGTAATTTACTACGTAATCCTAGGTATTCATATCCGAAAATCGTAATAAATATCGCAACGATCGATTCATTCGAACGAGATTAGAAACTTTATCATTGGATAAAAATGGAATCGGAATGTTACGCTTAAGTGGATTATCTACACGAGTGTTTATTCATTTCTTTCCATAAAATTGAATCGATTTGTATTTCTATTTTTAGTTCCATTTTTTTTAAAGTGGTTATCGATTCGTAAAATTAAAATCTTTAAAATAAAATCTTTAAAGTTAGGTTATGTTAGATAAGATTGAAGTCGGTAAAGTAGAAACTAGTTAGGTTAGGTTAAGTTAGGTAAGATAGAAAGATCTATGAAAATTAGTGAAGTTAAAAATTTGTAAATTTTGTAGAAATTAATAAATAATTAGTTATAATTATATTAATAATTTATAATTAATAATATAAATAATTTATAAGTAATAATAAATAATTAGTTTGTTGTAAATAATCGATTGATTGAAAAAGTTATCAGAAATTGATTTTAAAAAAAGGAGAAGAAATGAATATATTATAACTTAAAATTAGATTTTTATTTATGGAACGACTTAATAAATTTTATTTTGAAATATAATTATTTAATATAAAATATAAATAAGCGTTCTTTCGAAAACTTCATCAATAATAATTTTGCATTGAATTAGACTTGT